GCTGCTGATCAGTTTCAGCAGCAGCTGACTTGGGGATGCCTGGGTTTCTTAAGTTGAATCTGTATGTAAGCCAGAACTGGCGTCCAGATTCAGCCGGGGTTGAAACTGATCAGTTTCAGCAGTGGCTGACGCCAGTTCCGACTTACATACAGATTCAACTTAAGAACAAACCTACAGTCCCTATCTTGTACGTAACCCGGGGACTTCCTGTATTTAAAGAGTAGATGTGAAGACCCAGGTATATGCTAGTTAGTCTGACATCCCTCCCAAGCAAAATCATGGAAATTGATATGGGATACAATCTGTAGATTATTTTAAAAAGGAAATACAGTAAATGCCAATCAACATACAGATTCAACTTAAGAACAAACCTACAGTCCCTATCTTGTACGTAACCCGGGGACTTCCTGTATTTAAAGAGTAGATGTGAAGACCCAGGTATATGCTAGTTAGTCTGACATCCCTCCCAAGCAAAATCATGGAAATTGATATGGGATACAATCTGTAGATTATTTTAAAAAGGAAATACAGTAAATGCCAATCAACAGGGTTTATGGAAAATAGGTCTTGTCAAACAAACTTGTCTTTGGATGAGCTTATAAATTTGGTTGATAAAGGATTTTTTTATATAATATACTTGGACTTTTGCAAGGCACTAACTTAGTCTTGGATTAAATTCAGATAAAAATTAGCTCTATACAAAATCAATGTAGCCTATACCAGGATGGATTTATATTAAGGTGATTTAAATCACTAAGAAAAAATAATTGATTTAAATCAAGTTTCTTGCTCATGCTTCTCACATATTGTTTAAACAATGGTGCAAATTTGATCACTAAAATGTAAAAAGTTGTACTGTGTTGAAAATTAACAACATCTAAGAGGGTATACACTTTGTATAATTTTGTAGATAACTTGATTTTTATTAATTTAGGAAATAGTACATAATGCTCATTATCTGTGTCAAGCTGCAGATGCAGCAGCAGTACATAAGGAATGGTAAGAACAAAATCACACACAAACACAATAGAATTTATATTTTATTAAATTCAATCTTTAACGTTACATAAATGTTTCAAATTTGCAATAAAAGCAGGCTCCTGAGTTGCTGGCGACGGCTTTCCTTACACTTCTCTTATTAATTTTCAAATTTTATTAACTCTAAGTACTCCGAACACTAACTATATGGTGTCTTTAAAACTTCTAGAATTATCTCTCATCTTCCCCACTCCCACTGTCATTTTGATTCATAGACTGAAACAGAAATAAGAGTTTTCCTGCTTTTTCAACTGCCAGTCAATTTCTTAGATTTGTGTGAAGACCAAATGATGAAAATATTCTCTCTATGCCTACAGAGGAAGCTGCTGCTGTGAAAAGTTGGTTTATCTACTGAAGCAACTCTCTGTTTTCAGGTGCCTGACTAATCATTCCCACCAATTCAGGGGGGTGATTTTGTTCAAAACATCATCGGTAAACATATACTAATTATATTATTTTGCTCCAGTCCTGAAATGTATTATGACTGGCATAACTGAGGAGTGATTCTGAGATGCCTATGCCATCTGATGTTAAGAACATTTGCAAGAAAATGAGGCAGAGTTAATGTTTGATCCATTTGCTTCTTTATTGCCTATTGTTTAAATTTCTGGTGAGGTATTTTTATTGTCAATGTCTCTTGAACTGCCTTCCAAATTTTGACAGCATCATCAGCAATGCATCAGCAATTTCTCTGAAGTTTGTTTAAGGCTATGGATAATAGGGTTTCAGTAAACTGAGCATATCCTCTATACTCTTCTTTAAACCAATCTTACATAATACTACGGATGAGATACTTCTATTTAAAAAGAGAGATTACTCACTTTGTACAGTAAATGGTGTTCTTTGAGATGGGTGTCCCTGTGGGCACTCCCCTGTAGGTTCTTGGCACTACTGCACTTATAATCAGAACATTTTAGCAGCAGTAATCCCCCTGGGTGCCGGGGCGCACACACGGCGCTGCTTACGCATGTGAACATGACAACATGCGCATGCTGTCAACCATCCCTCCAGTTCCTTTTCTACCATGGAGAGATGTTACACCTCCGAAGCAGAGGGGAGGAGGGCAGGTCATGGAGCGCTGACAGGGACATCCATCTCAGACCAGCGGCCCTGGACTGTTAGCATCCCCATGTGAGCACCCCAACTGGTGAGGAGTATCCCCGTGGGCACTCCACTGAGGGGCTTCAGATCTCAACAGGCTGCCAAGAGGACTGCTGCTCCAAATGTGGAAAACTGTGAAGCATAAGTGTCTATAGCATAATGTTTTGTAAAGGTATGTGTGGAAGCCTAGGTTTCTGCCCTACAAATGTCCCTGATTAGCACATCATGGAGGAAGACTGTAGATGTGGCTATCGCTCTAGTATAGTGTGCCCGTGGATAAGTGGTGTCAC